AAATTTTGTCATTTAGCAGACGCTTTTATCCAAAGCGACTTACAAATGAGGACAATAGAAGCAATCAAAACCAACAAAAGAGCAATAATATGCAAGTGCTATATTAGTATATTATTATAGTGTTATATTTCAATTTCACGAAGAAACGTGCAGCATTTTGTCCAAGCAATAATAAAAGGACACATTTAATTTATAATTTGTCTTAAATCTCATTTTGTTAAAAGAAATCGTGAATCGAATTGTGACTTGAGTGATTCGTTACATCCCTATTTATTATAGTTAACTGAAACTAAAACCATCTAAACTAAAAGACATTTTTGTTACTTAAATTAAATGTTAACTGAAATAAAATATAGAAAAACTAAAATTCTTATTTTATTTATTTCAGCTAGTTGCCATGGCAGCATTTCTCATTTTCGTTCAGTTTCACTTGATGTACTAAAAATAAAATTGAAATAAAAATTAATAAAACTATATAGACATTTAAAAGAATGCTCATAAAAATGACTAAACACAACAGAATTACTAAAACTTTAAAATTAAAATATAAATAAACTATTAAAATCAAAACCAATTCAAAATAGTAATTAAAACTTTAATAGTATCTCAGTGATACACATTTATATTCTTCATTTTGTCTCTTCCCAGTGCTTGGGCGGTGTTGCTAGACCGCAGTCAACAGAAGCTGCAGTTAGTGCTGTTGCCGCCTGCACTCTTCATAGCCGCGAGCGTGGATGATCCGCAGTGGGAGGAGCATGTGGAAGCCATGCCTGAGGGAGTCCAGCCCTTCATCGTCTACGAGGAGCTCACCGACATCTGGATCAATGTATGCATGAAGATAGCAGAGCAAAGTTAATATCGCTCACTGACCAGAGCAAAAAGAAGAACCGTAGAGTATGCTTGAAAGATATTTAACACCGTACCGCTAATAGAGACGTGAAAGAATGTCTTAAATTAAATTGAACGTTTTATAATGTGTTTAGTTGTTACACTACCTTTTAAAGTTTGAGGTCAGTAAAATCGAAAGAAATAATCCTCAATACTTTTTGGGTCATATTTATTTCTTGTCTCATTCCCAACAGGTCCATGATATCTTCTATCCCTTCATTCAAACAACTAATGACAAGATCACCTTCCTGTGGGTGAACGAATCACAAACGGGCTTCTGCCATTTGTACAGAATAACCAGCCTCTTACAGCCGGGCTGCCAGCAGTGGACCAGAGAATACAGTCCTGCAGACGGTCAGACGTTTGAGCTTGAACAGATTGAACAAAAACATATTCATAGCACTGTATTAGAAAACTTCATGCAACAAAACTTCATTTAACAAACATTATACAGTGCTTATCTGATCAATAGTGATCAATGAACATTTAAATATGTAAAAAATCAAATGTGCAAAGAGTTCAGAATGTCATCAAGCTAGTGATTTCACTGTTTTTAAACTATTATGAAGCCTAAAAACAATGTCTCTTCTTTGAGTCGCACATAAACTACCTGGATTTACCTGCAATATGAATTGAATATTAATTATGTGTTATGTATTAATTCATGTCATACTATTGTGAAGCAGGGATTAAAGTTCCGTCGCTACGACGGATTTCCGTCAGTTCATAAAGACAGTCACTTGCTTCATTCCTGAATGATTCAGCCGTTCGAACGAATCAATTGAATGAATGATTCAGTGATAAAATCAGTGACTTGCCGCCACCTGCTGGTATATAAAATTTTGAATACAGAAATATGATTCAAATAATTTAAATTATATGCTAAAAAGTCACTGATTTTATCACTGAATCATTCATTCAATTGATTTGTTCGAAGGACTGGAATGAAGCAAGTGACTGTCTTTATGAACTGACGGAAATCCGTGGTAGCAACGTAACTTTAATCCCTGGTGAAGACATGGCTCATGAATATTTATTAAACTATTTCGCTGGGTACACCAGTACTCAAGCATTGTCTGCATGAGCTAACAAACATTTATGCACTATACTACTTTATAATTTCATGTCAGGATGTGTGTACAGGACATGTTTAGGAGGAAAAATAGATATCCATAATAGTGTTTGCAGATTAATAGAGCGAATAGGAAATATTAGCTGAGCATAAAAATTTTTTTAAGTTAAGGTGTCTGATGTCCTTTTTCCCAAATCATGTTATATCATAGGATTTTAAATTTTGTGGTAAATATTTCATTTATTTATTTTAATTGTTTGATCATGCTTATGTTGTATTGACACATTAACATTAAAAAGTGCAATTTTTGTAGTGTTGTGCAGAGTCACGTTTTTCACTATGCCCTCTGTGCTTTTAAACAACATTTAAACATGGAGCCTTGTAATATTAATGACTACCTTTAATGTTTTGTTTAGATGATTTCAAATGCCCGATAGAGGAGGAGGTGACTTTAACGAGTGGAGAGTGGGAAGTCTTGGCCAGACACGGCTCAAAGGTTTGATGTTATATTTAATGAATTTAAAATATAAATGACTTCCATAAATTCCCATATGGTTGGTAACACTTTACCTTCATCTTCATTTGCAGATCTGGGTCAACGAAGAAACCAAACTGGTGTATTTCCAGGGAACGAAAGATACTCCACTTGAGCACCATCTGTATGTTGTGAGCTACGAATCTCCTGGAGAAACTGTTAGACTTACTAAGCCGGGTTTCTCTCACAGCTGCTCAGTTAGCCAGGTGTGTGTGTGTGTGTGTGCATGCGAGACACTGTTAAAGGAGACGTCGGATGCAAAATTCACTTTTACATGGTGTTTGCATATAAATGTCTTATCAGTGTGTGGACACAGCCACCCTACAATGATAAAAATCCACTCACTTCTTTTTTTTTATCCCCAAAAAACCTAAACAGTATTAATTATCAAGCCATTTTGATTTTCTGAGCAATATGATGGTATATATTAGCCAAAATTACTAAATATTGAGAATGCAACAGCGCATATTATATTTTTATAACTCCAAACGATCATACACTGATCAGAACCAGCCGATAATAACCTCCTTTGATTCGATACATCTCTCAACTTGACACTCAAATTAACGGATCACATGTTAATGATGCAGAAGACTGGAGTCAAATAATGACGTGGTTATAAGGAGTGTATTATTTAAACTACTTAGTCAGCACTAACAGTAGCTAATGTTCAGTTTGCATACTTCTGCTCTCACTATTGAACTCTTCCCTCTCTTGATTAAAGCTCCAGGTGAAGGGTTGCCAGTTATCACAAAAAGAGCAAAACAAGCCCCTTATAAACGCAGTATAATAAGCAGATACCAGGGAACAAATTTAAACAACAGAACTAGTATTAATAGTGTCCTACAAAATTAAAAGGAAGTAAATGTAATTATGAATAGAATATTTCGATATTAAAAACTGACTGAAGTAAAACAATAAAATTAGATTTAAAAATAATTTAGAAACACCTTATTTAAATTTTAATTGCACCTACAAGTTGCATTTGATTTAATTCAGTTTGGGCCAGTTAATCTAAAAGTTGAGTGTGTTTTTACGAAATAATTTACCAAATAAAAGAAAATTCAAACAAGGTGAAGTACTTTTCATTTTTAATGTATTTGAGTTTATTTATTATATAAAGCCCCTTTTGTCGATTTTCAGAATATAAATAACTATATTGTGAAATATATTGTTACCGTGAAATAAAATTAGTCATACAGCGAAACAGAATTTTGGTCATACCGCCCACCCCTAGTATGGTCTTTCACCTAAAATGAAAATTCTGCCATCGTTTATTCACCCATTTGCTCTGTTAGCCAGGTGTGTGTGGGAGACACTGTTTAGGCCTGTTTACTCCAAAACTGCATTAAAAACAGAAATTGCTTATGATTTTTATTTATTTATTTATTTTTACAAAAATGGCTCATCTAAAGTTGGGCTGACAAAGAATCCCCTGGAAATATGACATGAAGAAAATTTATCCAGAATTTTCGGCTTTAATGAAGAATTTCATTTCATCTTTGGCTTATATTTTAGTGGTTGCATAAGTGGGAGAAAATGTATATTACAATTTAGTAAATCTTTACAAGAAGATTCTATACATTAACATTAATGCAATAGTACTATGAACAATCCTTACAGAATTTATTCATTTTAATGTATGTAAATGAGTTCATGTAAAAACATTTTTTGCAAATTGCATAAACATCAGGTAATGAATAGACATTTGTAAACAATTAATTTAACATTATAATTATAATTAATAGAAAGTAATAGTTTCACCCGAAATGAAAATTCTGCTGTCATTGTCAGGATGTTTAACACCTGTATGGAATACTTTTTTTTTGACTACAGAATACTTTGGCTCGGGCTGGGACTGTCAAACTCCAAAATAATAATAGTAATAATAACACATAAACAAATAATCCATTTGGCATGCATAACTTGTGCAATATATTCCAAGTCATATGATAGATTTGTGTAATGAACATGTCAGTTTTTATTCAGTAAAATAACTTGACCTCTGCCGTAACTCTCCACGGCTTGTTCCGTTAATGAGAGAAATTACAAATTTGTCAACAAATAATTCTTTCGAGTCAGATCTTTTCAAAATATTTAGTTCACCTTGGGAGTTCACAAAACTCATTGATTCATTGATATGGTTTCAGCAGATCACAGCCCATTCGGAGAGAAAGTTCATCTTTGATTATGGTATTGTTTTTGGAATGTGCTGCTTTGTTCTTTTTAAAGCTTGAAAGCTCCACTCACCATGAATTGTAAATGCATGGGGAAAAAACAACTGGTACAAAATCATATGAACCACAGCAGAGTGAGGAAGGGGTGACAGTGGTCATTTTAGCACGGGCCGTCCCCTCTAAATGCAGTACTGTATTGAGTTTGTGACACATCAACTAGAAGTTGCATTGTAATTTCTTTACTAGTTTCAAATCTTTTCTCGTTTTTTTTTTTAGGTGCAGTTAGTGAATAACTCTTACAAGGGTGTGAAGTATCTGCGTCTGAACACGTTGGCGTCTCTGGGTTATGCTGTGGTGGTCATTGACGGAAGAGGGTCATGCCAAAGAGGCCTCAAGTTTGAAGGGGCCCTTAAAAACAAAATGGTAACTAGAACTGATGGTCTAGTTTTGTGTAACCAGACATTTGACAAGTTTGGTCAACATTGCAGCCAAAAGAACTGAACACTTAAACAGGAATTGACTGACATATGCAAAACAAATGGGGATTGGTCTTTACACAGCTGAGTTAAGGCTGCTCTGTGCCTGCTCAAAATGAAGTATTAAGACCCACCCGCTCTGACCCACCTCAGCCACTAGTATCTTAAATGCATTTATCCCACCTCTCACCAGCATTAAAGAGTCTGTATGAAGACACCTAAATGCCACTTCAGAAGCACTTCTGTGCAGTGTACAGTACATTTAACAGTAGAAACGAGACTGGTGGAACTGGTGATTTCGGCCAGCTCTTGGCATTTTTCTGAGCAGTGTGCGTCACGTGGCCCGTGATCTGTTGGCATGCGAGTGCTGTCTGAACCTGAGAATATAAACAGTCTCACATTTAACACATTATCGCCTGCTTTTAAAAGGTCAGCCAGCATGCATTGAAAACAGGTTGCATAAATGCTTTATATAGACACAAATATGATCATGCGGCAATTTTAGTTGTCCGAGTGATCGGTCGTGAAATGTTAAGGTGTTAAAATGATTACAGAGTGACAGCTCACTCTGACACATGATCTCACATGTAACTCAGTCAGAGACTGAATTAGACGTCTCCAGTTCTGACCAACTCATATTTGTATCACTGCTTTTTGAAGGTCAGTTACGTCTGATATAAAGTCAGTTTGTGTCATGACATTGGCACATGACTACTGCTTAGTTTGATGACATTTTATAAATGATTATTAAAGGAACACGTTTTATGATTTGTCTGGAACCAGAAAGCAACCACCTAGCATTCATCCAGAAAAACTAAGGTAACAGCTAGTTTATTTGGGATGAATACTAGGTTGTTGCTTGCAGGCAATGACTGTATATATGCAATTTTTCAAAAGTGTGGGAGCTTTATTTATTTATTTTTGAGAAATTAATACTTTTATCCAGCAAGTATGCTTTAAATTGATTAAGTTACATTTAGAATGTTACAAAAGATTTCTATTTCAAATAAATGCTGTTTTTTTTTTCCTTTTTTTCTTCAAAAATTTATATAAATGTCAACATGTTATAAAAAAAAATTATAATAAATGTCAGCATATTAGAATGATTTCTGAAGGATCATCTGACACAAAAAATCAGGTTTGCTATCACACTGGAACCAGAAAGCAACCACCTAGCATTCATCCAGAAAAACTAAGGTAACAGCTAGTTTATTTGGGATGAATACTAGGTTGTTGCTTGCAGGCAATGACTGTATATATGCAATTTTTCAAAAGTGTGTGGGGGCTTTATTTATTTATTTTTGAGAAATGAATACTTTTATCCAGCAAGTATGCTTTAAATTGATTAAGTTACATTTAGAATGTTACAAAAGATTTCTATTTCAAATAAATGCTGTTTTTTCCCCTTTTTTTCTTCAAAAATGTATATAAATGTCAACATGTTATAAAAAAAATAATACATTTCAGCATATTAGAATGATTTCTGAAGGATCATCTGACACAAAAAATGCAACTTTGCCATCACAGGAATAAATAACATTTTACAATATATTTTTTAAAAATTGTAGTAAAATTTCACAATGTTACTGTTTTTGATCAAATAAATGCAGCCTTAGTGAGCATTAGAAACTTTTCAAAAAAATATTTTCCGACCCCAAACTTTTGAATGGCAGTGTATGTAGGTTTTGATATAAAAAAAAATTTAAATTAGTATTTCGCATGGTTGAAGTTAATTGAAGTTAATCATTGAATGCAGCATACCAGGCTTAAGTAAGGTTATAAACGAGGTGTGAGATACTCTTCTGTTTATATTACTGTTCTTTCCTCCTCGACCTCAGGGGCAGGTGGAGATTGAAGATCAGGTGGAGGGACTTCAGTATGTAGCAGAGAATTACAAGTTCATAGACATGAGTCGAGTTGCCATCCATGGTTGGTCTTATGGTGGATTCCTGTCTCTCATGGGCCTCATTCACAGGCCAAACATCTTCAAGGTGAGATTTACAGCTGCCCCAGTGTCATGGCGTCATCTTAAATAATTCACCCGAAAATAAAAATTCTTGTCAGTTTTCAGTTTTTGCTGTACTATCCCTCAACCCCACCCATGTATGTTGGTAAAACCTACTTTAATCAGCAGGTGGCGTCACAAATGCACCTTACCAGATATTGAATTGCTGATGTTTGTTGCTTTGCTAAAATTGTAATGACAGTCAAAGTTTTTTCTTTTATATACTTTTGGAATTGCCAAAATAGAAGTGACCGTTGTATTTTGGATATAAGCAACATACATTTTCATTGTCAGTTTTCAGTTTTTGCTGTACTATCTCCCTCAACCCCACCCATGTATGTTGATAAAACCTACTTTAACCAGCAGGTGGCGTCTCAAATGCACCTTACCAGATATTGAATTGCTGATGTTTGTTGCTTTGCTAAAATTGTAATGACAGTCAAAGTTTTTTCTTTTATATACTTTTGGAATTGCCAAATAGAAGTGACCGTTGTATTTTGTATATAAGCAACATACATTTTCAAACGGCTAAAATCAGTAGCTTTAGTTTTATTCTCATCATGTGTTAAGCAAATTAGCCATTCTGTGCTCCAGGTGGCCATAGCAGGAGCTCCTGTGACGGTGTGGATGGCATACGATACGGGCTACACCGAACGCTACATGGACGTGCCTGAAAATAACCAGCACGGGCATGAGGCGGGCTCCGTCGCCCCGC